GTAAGTTACAAGGTAAACTGGTCTATGCGACTAGTTGTGGGTCAGCCAGGGTTACATAGTAAGACCTTATCTCCAAGCAAAACAAAACAATTATCAGTATGGGTGGTACCTGAGGATAGTCTAAGACAGATCTTTGGCCTTCATATGCACACAGATCCACACATACTGTGCAAAAATGTGCACACACACGCATGCACGCACACACACACACACACACACACACACAAACACACACACACTTGAACCCACGCAGAAATAGATGATGGATGGATGGATGAATGGATGGATGCATGGATGGATGGATTGATAGGATAGGGAAGTCAAGGGTGTTTTGATGATGAACCAAAAAATAACATTTTTAGAACTCACATTTTGTTTGCTAAGCACACCTGGTCATCTTCCGTATTCCTCCAAGGAAGGAGTTACCAGAATTATAATCTTAAAGAAAGTCAATACAAACTACCTGCTATCATTCACACCTGACACTAAATTTGCCCCCAAACCATCAGTATTAGCTTTAGACATGACTTTCCTTTTTTTAAAAATTCTGAAATAAAGTTTACATTAAAAACCAGGTCTTACAGTCCCAACATTGAACACACAGGACAATAAGGGAAACATATTCTTTGCCTGTCTATCGCCATTAACCTAACCTTTTTCCTTTATGAGATCTTGATTTGGATCACAGAGCAAGAAGCAAGAAGCAGATCTTTGTAGCGCTAGAAAAGAAAATTGGTGAATAAAACAAAATGTCTAAAGATTAGCAGCAAGTTGTAATATTCAGACAGGTGCAAAAGGCATTAAACAGTAACCGACAGACCTGTGCAAATTAGTGAGCTTTGTTGTGTCTCTTCTCTGACTGGGGCAGTCATTCTGTAACTTGTTTTGGGCCATGTTTGTCTCTGCTGTTGCAGTGTTCTTGTTCACAGAGTGCCTGTTTCAATTTAAAAGCAACCCTGGTGCACTGACTGCCTTAGAGAATTTCTAGGAGTCCAGTCAAGGTTCTCTTCATTGACACTGGTGTCCTACCCCCACCCCCACCCCCACCCCCACCCCCACCCCACCCCCACCCCCACCCCCACCCCACCCCCACCCCCACCCCCATTGCTTCTATCTTTTAAAAAAATGTACACATTTTAAAGGTCTTTTTCTTTCTGTAATATGTTTCTTCTCTCTGGAAAGGGTCTCTAAGAAGTGAGGATGCGAAGTGGACTAACACACAGGAAGGTGTAGCGAGCAGTGGGTAGTGAGACAGTTCAGAGTCTTACCGTGGAAGAAGCTGCAGATGGCTCTGCCGGCTGACTGCTTGAGTCACAGAGATTTAGAGGTCACCGTCCCGCAAGGTAGGAGCCTACATTTTCTCTCTGTACAGCTCAGGTCTCAGACTTTCATTTGAAATACAAAAGAGGCAAAAGCACTGCATTTTAACTTTATTTATATTAAATATGTTCTTTGATAGTTTTCTATAAGTAACATGTTCTGGTTACTCTCTCTCCATATATATATATGTATGTGTGTGTGTGTATGTACATATATATGTGTGTGTGTGTGTGTGTGTGTGTGTGTGTGTGTGTGAGTGTGTGTGTGTATAATACATATATATGTATATATATATATATAATTTTTGTATTTAAATTCGGAACAAGCTTATTTTTCATATCAATCTCAGTTCTTGCATCCTCCCATCCTCCACTGTTCCCCCCCACCAACCCCATCCCATCCCCTTTCAGCTCCCCAGGGAGGATGAGGCCTTCAATGGGGAATCTTCAAAGTCTGTCATATCATTTGGAGCAATGCCCAGGCCTTCCCACATGTCCACATGTGTCTTAACTGAGGGAGTATCTCTGTGTGTGGAATGGGCTCCCAAAGTCCATTTGTATACTAGGGACAAATACTGATCCAATCCCAGAGGCCCCATAGACTACCTAGTCCTCCAAACACCACATTCAGGGAGTCTGGGTTGGTCTTATGCTGGTTTCCCAGCTATCACACTGGGGTCCATGAGCTCCCCCTTGTTCAGGTCAGCTATTTCTGTGGGTTTCTCCAGCTTGGTCTTGACCCCTTTGCTCAGCAACCCTCCCTTTCTGCAACTGGATTCCAAGAGTTCTTCGCCGTGTTTAGCTGTGGGTGCCTGATTCTGCTTCCATCAGCTACTAGAAGAAGGCTCTAGAATGGCATATAAGGTAGTCATCAATCTCATTATCAGGGAAGGGCATTTAAGGGAATCTGACTGCGATCACCAGTGCTGATCTGGCTGGCTAGGCTGTGTCCCCTTCCTCCCTCACCACTCCATGTGCATCCCTCCTGATGCTGCATGCTCAGTCGAATAGGATGACCTTTTCCAAATAGAGGAGGACTGGTCTTTGGACAAGGGTATAGGAGTAGCTGCGCTCCCCTGCTAGAACCTCCAAACAAGATCTCACTCACCTTCTTATGGTTTCCCCTGACCCTTGTTAATCTCGCTCTTCCTATCTTTTGGCTCTTACAGTCTTTCATTCCTTCTGTGATGTCTCCTAAAGCCTTGATCTTTGGAGGGTGGTGTGGCATTGACATGAATTTTCTGTTTGGGTCTGAGTATCAACCCGTTGCTTATTCTCATTAGCTAGAGCAGGATTCACATTTGGCTTCCAGGTACAAAACTTTCTCATGAGTAAATCCACATCACTCCTTTACCTTCCCCATAATACAGAGAAAAGACAAAACTTAAAAAAATTTACAAGAGCAAATAACTGTCTCCTACTGATTTCATCCATCTCTACTTCCGCTGTTGCATTCAGAATATTTATCCCACTGTTATTTTCCTTCCCTTTTAAATTGTTTTTCATTAATTGATTATATAATTTTGAGATTATAATATAACTACATAAATTCTACCTCATCTCTCTTCCATCCAAACTCTCCCATACATCCCTCCTTGCTATTTTTATGCAATCCGTTTAAGATGTATAGTGCTACCTGCATGTATGTTTTCAGGGCTGACCATTTCATATTGGATAACCAAATGTCCCTGGAGAAAACATTTTCTCTAACTCCCAGCATTCCTTAGTTTCCTGTAGTTCTGTGTATAGGGTTGAGGTCTCTGGGCTTTCCTCTGTCCACATTAGTCTATCTGTTGTCTTGTTCAGATCATGCTCAGCTTGTCACATTGGTGTGACTTTATGGAGGTAGCAAATTTCCAGCTCTTACAATCTTTCTTCCCCCTCTTTATTATTTATCCCTTGAATCTTGTAGATGTTTCTGTTGGAACTCTGCTCCACAACTCCACATATCCTGCGATGGTCTGTGTGGTAGTTTGAATGTAATTGGCCCTGATAAGCTTGATGAGAGTGACACTATTAGGAGGTGAAGACTTGTTGAAGTAGATGTCACTTAGTTAGAGGAAGTGTGTCATTGTGGGGGCAGGCTTTGGGGTCTTGTTATGAGTAGTTTTTCCCCTGCCGCCGGTCCCACAGCCATGCCTGCCCCAAATAACACACTGAGTCTCTGATATTGATATTATGCTGTTGGCCAGTTACTTGGCTCTCATCGGCTAGCTCTGTCTTAAGTATTAACCCATATCTATTAATCTAAGTATCTCCACATGGTCTCATCTTACTGGAAAGTGGGCCTGGACCACTGTTTTCTCCAGTCTCCCCATGCTGACTCCTCCTTACTACTTCCTTGAATCCTCCTTGTCTCCTAGTCCCACCTATCTTGCTTTCCTATTGGCCAACACTGCTTTATTCATTAACCACTATGAGAAACTTATTCACAGAATGACATCTCCCATCAAGGTCTCTTTTGCTTTACCTTCCCTCAATGTGACTTCCAAACCACTTCCTGTTGCCTACAAGATATAGGACTCTCAGGTACTTCTCCAGCACCATGTCTGCCTGTACTCTACCATACTCTCAACCACCATGCTCCCTGACATGATGATAACTGTAAGCTGCCTTCTCAATTAATTTTTTTTTCTTTTATAAGGGTTGCCATGGTCATAATGTCTCTTTACAGCAAAAAAAAAAAAAAAAAAAAAAAACCTAAGACAGTCTCCATCTGTTACAAAGAGAATTTTCCTTGATGAGGGATGAGGAATACACTTATCTGTGAGTATAAGGGCAAATGTTTAGAATGTAGTTAGGGATTTTGCTATTTTGATAAAGTGGTGGTTGTAAGTTTTCCTCCAAGATCCATGATTTCACTACCACTCGGTAGTTGGCTTGGTTTCCAGTACTAAGCAAGATTTCCCTCTTGTTGAACAAGTCTTATGATCAGTTGAAGAGCTTCTGGTTGCTGACAGGGTATGTATGCCACTACCTTAGCTGGTCATTGTTGTAGCTCATGCTGGGTGGGGCTGTTGGTTTCTTCCTTCCCTTGGAAGCTTGCATGGCACCTTCTGGTATCATGAAATCGAGTCCCCAGGGAGAAGATATTCAGGTCATCCTGTTCGTAGTCCTTTGGTCCCCGTGTATTTAGCAATGAGGATTTACCTTTTACCTCTGGGAGACAACCCTGACCAACAACCCAAAAGAGGATTATTAGCTTGTTGGAGTTTAATTCTCAGAGGGAGCATTGTCAGCCCAAATGAGAGAAATTAATGCTATTTTACCCTCCTCTCTCCTTCTTCTGTTTTTCTCCCTATACCTAATGTCTTTGTAAAAATAATCTGACACAATCATTTGTTTAAAAAAATGTGCTTCAACAAATGCTTTAGAGAAAATTTCCCATTATTTGAAAAAAATTCATAGCTAAAATTCCCAACACTTACCTTTTAAACCAGTTTCCAACTTCCACAATATTTCTCATCCCACCTCCTTTAATTTCACAAGTTTTACCAGCAGGAATGTAGACATGATGTCAGAAATACATGTTTGCCTCCATAAGTAGCCCCACAAACCTTTCAAGATGAGACAGCTCTGTGCTGGGGACTGCCACTACCACTAGGGTAAAGTCCTAATGCTTCTCTTAGAATACCAAAGTTAAAAATGAGCAAATTCTGCAGATTCATTTTGCTTTTTAAGGTTTTCCTGGCAGAAGATCAAAGACAAGAGAAAGAAAAGTCCAAGATATGGCTTAAAACTGTGGTGCTTTGCACAAAAGCAGGAGAATTGAGAAGTCTGTTTGTAGTTGAAATAACTCTGACAACAGCGGCTGCAGCCATAGAAACAAGGCCTCGGTCCAGTGTGATTTTCAGGAATGAAAGGGAAGAACAGATGTTTCAGATCCTGGAGATGGATTTAGCATCTCAACTCTTCCCTGTCTGGAACTGGCCTTTAAAGAAAGCCAGGGGCTTCACATTGTGACTGAAATCGGTCAACAAAGCCACAGAAAAGGGGAGTTAGCTCATGAACTCTTGTCTGTGGCAGGCACGAAAGGAGATGGAAACTTCTTAGGTTAAGTATAAATCATGTATTAGTTAAAAGGAAGTGTGTATTTGGGCTCTGCTAAAGCAACTACAAAAAGGAAAATCTCTTTTTCAGAAAGGCTGCTTCAGACACAAAACATGGATTTCCCCAGCACCGCCCAAGTGCACTACATCTGCCATTTCACAGATGTCCTTCAATAACTCACCACAGACATGCTGCATTTCTCTGGTTCACAAGCACAGTGGGTCCACACGGATAAACTGCCCCAATCTGGGAAATCATGGACCACTTTGGAGTTAAAAGGGAAACTACAATTTACCTAGCAGTGATTTTTTTTTCTTAAATGCTTTTTATGATATACTCTCTAATGTACTTCGCTTTTGCAAAGGTTTAGTCTGAGACTAAAAATACTTGAATATTTGTGGCTTTTAATGCAAATTGTATTAATTAACTGTTTTCTGTGAACATGGTCCATGTAAAATTTTATGAAGCATTTTCTTTCTTACTTCTTGGACTCCTGGGGCCATGTCTTTAATATGTAGAATAAGAATTAGCTTGACTTGAAAACACACATAAATATATATACACACACAGGCATGCACAAAGAAAGAAAAAAAGAAAGGAGAAAAGGAAGGAAGGAAGGAAGGAAGAAAAGCTCAGGTAATCATTGGCGAAGGATACAATGTTTCATGTGATTGCAAATGTTTGAAGCATTGCTTTTAGTTCACTAAAGCAAAACTTAAGGCAATGTATGCAACAAATAGCAATTCAGTTTCCGACTGTGTTCCTCAGTTCATTTGTTCTGGTGCCAGACACGATTATTTCTGTGAAAGAAATCATTTCTGCAGTTTGAGTGACAGCACTTCTTTTCATAGTGCTGCCTTGTTGTTGCCAGAAATGAGAAATGCAGTCATAGGATTAACAGTGTATATCTCAATTCCCTGTGAACTCTAAATATTAATCAGAAATCAGACTAAGAGAATATTCAGCAAGAAGACACTTGAGGTAAATGTTTCTTTATAGAGACACCCATGGGTAAAATTAATATATATGTATATATGTGTATTTATAGACAGGTTTTTAAACATACATGCTGTCATCTATTTGAGGACATACATAAACATTGAACCATATTTCTTCACCATAAATATTTGGAGCTCCCAACTCCAGCCCTCACCCATTGATTAAAATATGACATCCTGCAGCTCCTCAGCCATATCTCAGATTTCTTTTGTTCACTGCCTTTCCCTAACACACATACACATCTAGACACACACACACCTAGACACACACACACACACACACAGACACACACACACAAACACACACACAGAGGAAAATAGACATACCCATATGCACTCATACACAGACACACAAACACATGTTGATAAGAAACCACCATTTCCTGGAAACTAGTGGAAACAAAGGGACAAATGGCTACATCTTTCACCTTTCCAGGTCTGCCTATGTGTACCATCTGTTAACATGAACACTAGCACTCCTTGTATCAGTACAAAGTATGATTAATAGATTCAAAACTGAACTGGAATAACTCAAGAATTAATACATTTATTCAGTTCCACTACTATTTTTAGAATCATTCAAAATGCAATTTAATTAAATACTACCTTATACTATTTTATTACTAATACTTCCTTTCAACATGTCAATGTTTGTGGTGTTATCTGTTTGCAATTAGTTTATTCAAAGGACGAGACCAGAGAAAGGTAGTTTGCATGTAAATAAAATAAAACATTAAATGTTCCTGCAATGCTTAATGTTTGCATAAATTTCATTTTATATAAGGTTCTAAATTAATCAGTCCTTTCATGATTTGTTACACCAGTCAAGGCACTAGGTTTCCTTTTAGCTTCTAAATAACAAAAACTGCTTTCCTTTCATTCTCTATTCTTACACACAGCCTGCTTGTAACTTTGTAAGTCCAACAACAACAAAAAATTGTTTTCAAAAAACTGTCTTTTTCATTTGTACATTCCTCAATCTTGTACATATTTTTCTCACAAGTAGATTTATTCTGCAGAGAGTTAAACTGTGTAAAATGTACTGTTGTGCTATCTCAATTAACAGTCATTCAAGGGGAAAGCATTTAAAATATGTTTACTAGTAATGGTGGCTGATTTGTGGATGGTTCTTACTTCTTAGGGGAAGATGTCGAACATCTGGAGATTGGCAGCTGCCTGTGTTATAAATAGTATTAAAGGTTTTCTGCATCTGTATTAAACAATTATCTCTTTGGGGAGCCTAGTTTCATTGTGATAACTGCACTATTAGCTGGTGAGTACCCACGTCACTACCATGATTTGCTTTGTCACCACACTACTAGAATGGCCCAAGGAATAGAGGAACACACAAGCCCCAACGCCTGCAAGTTTTCCTCTCTTGATAGATTAGGAATACAGGTTAAATCCTTTGGAAATTTAAAAGACTTCTAGTGAAAGTAAAACACATCACAGCTTTTTGTTTTCCTCCTGTTGATGTTTCAAAATGTTGAAAATAATATTTTGGGAAATTCTTATTTTACAAAGACATTTTCATCAAATGGGCATGTCCTTATCTGCATAAAATATCATATTACTCATTTTAATTTATTTCCTGGATTATTTTAGGACCTCATTGACCACCTAGCAATATCTAATTTCATTAAACAAATGGCATTTTATTATTCATATAATTCAGATTAATTTGACAAATGTTTAAAATCATATTTAGGTAATTGCGCCAGCGAGATGATTTAGCAGGTAAAGCTGCTTTCCAACAAGCCTGACAACACTGAGTTTGATTCTAAGGGCACACACGGTACGAAGAAAAATGTCTCCTCTTTGTTGTCCTCTGACCTCCACACCATGCTTGTTGAAATCGTCAAGGCACACACACATGTGTACACACACACACACACACACACACACACACACACACACACGTGCACACGCGCGTGCGTTTATTAAATAAAGAAAAATGCATAAATTTTAAAGGTATGTAGTCAATAAGAGAGGCATTTCATTGCTGCACTTGGTTAATGATGTATTAAGATGTAAAATTTTAGGAAAATGAAGATAGGGATTTTGGGAGTTGTAAAAATTTCACATGTAAAGGTTAGCATAAATAAATAATTATGTAAACCTGCTTTAATTTTGCAAAGTCTCTTAGTAGTTTGTGCAACATTTCTAAACGTTTTTGGTTTTCTTATGTTTAGCTGGTAGAAAATAATTATGAAAGTGAGTTAATACTTCATTGTGTAAATTTTCTTAGATTTTTCTGTACTTTCATTATATTTTTCCTTCTGTTCACTTCAAGAAACCTGAGCTACAGTTTGACAAAGTAAAATACTACCTTTATGAGTAGTAATAGATAGCAATCTTAAAATTTTTCTTCAGAGAAGCAGGAGAATGAAACAATCTGATCAGTTTAGAAGTCAATACTTTGTGAAATAGTTATGAGCATATTTTATCACTAGCAATTTTATTATGTGCTTAATATATTCAATATTATCCACAGTTTGAATTATATCATGTGGAACTGATCAACTTCTTAAAGACAAAGGCCCTTTTGCAGTGCCTCATTTTGTTATGGTATCTGTGACTATAGAGGAGACACCAGACATTGCAACTCTCATCTGCCTATTAAAACCTCATGAGGAAACTTTGACTCAACCTTCCTTTGGATTTAACTGTATAAATACCTTGACATGGAGTGAATAAATTCAGAAAATGAGGTGATGTGGAAGCTTATTTCTGCTTAAAATGTCTCATATTCTGAAGGAATGAATTTGTCTGTGTCGCATTTATCCTATGGCTAAGGATACTCCTACAGGAAATGGTGGTAGCCTCTACCCTGCCTTCTGTTCACTAGGTTGACAAAAGCCTCAGCAATCAGGAACCACCCATTATTTGTCAGACATAATTGTAGAATTTATACGCAACACCTCAGGCCTTTTATCAAACGTGTATGGAATGATGGTATAGAGTAACCCTGAAAGTAAAACACTTCCCCATAAGATAGGAGGGGCGTTTCTTAAGATAAAGAAAATAAACGAAGCTTTCAAAGTCCAGGAAGTTCCCCCAAACTAACAGGACTTACAAAGTGCTTCCTCGTGATCTGTGGTACACAGTTACCTCCTTGGAGAGCCTCATTTCATTGTACACATGTCCACCATCTCCTGCTCTGTCATCATTTCTAAGAAGCAGTAACAATTTCTAGGGAAGGAGGCTCTCCAATCAGCAAATTATTTAAGTACTTGGAGATGCAACTTTTGTGAGCCATCAGCCATGCTGAGGTGGGATCAATACTAATGCAGGCGACTTTGAGTCATCTTTGATCTAGTACCTGTCTCCCTGAGTTCCTGGAAGTAAGCATAATAAACTCATTGGTTCCCAAAGCTAGTCTTGGATGGGACCACTTATTTATTCTCTTATTGATGCTCTATCCAGGGGTGAACAGATGTTTGCTCATACGTCACTAAGAAAAGTAACTCAATAGCTGTTGCCCAACACCATAATCCCTACATCACCTTGGGTAACCAGGAGGTTCTGTAACAATCACACATTCTGGAAGAATCACTTGGAGTGCACTATCAGAAGTACTCTAATCATTCCATTTCAGCTCCATATGAAACAGTCAATCTTTTTCTACGTATAACACAAAATAAGTGAAATCAAAGTGAAACACTGCTTGTTTAATTCAATGAGTTATCATAAAAAATTTATGAGATACATAGTTTCTCATCTTAGAGACATGCAGTTTGAACCTTGGAAATATGGTTTATTAAAACTGGTAGTCACTTTTCTTGTTACTGTGACCTGTCATGAAGCAGTATAGGGAAGGAAGCATTTACCTTGGCTTACAGCTGTGGGATCCATTCTGTTATGGCAGAGAAAGTATGTCAACAGAAGCATGAAGAAATCAGCCAACTGCCATCC